CGTGATATTTACAAAACAAAATATACCACAACGGACATTTACGGCGCCATTTACACTTTGATTAGCTGGGCTCTAGAGTCTGTTCTGTTAACAGTGTGAAAATGTCATCCATATCGCTTACTAAATGATGAAACACAGGAGACAGATTCGTAAATGCGTCCGTCTGGAGTCAAGAAACTCAGATGAGCTTATGTCGTAGTGACATTTGCAGATGTATATTGTCAACACTTTATTAGTGTGGAGGTTTATCCGGGGCAAAAAGCACGAGTAACACACTCTGTTCCCCCACCCCCTTTTTTCTCCACCCATTTCATCGGTAAATCTTTTTGTTTTGATCGTACTTACAGCCCGACCTTTGTAATAAAAAATATGCTATTTTTTGGCTTACCGCACCCCACCCCATCAAACCCACCCTTTTCATGAGCCTGTGGCGGGTAGTCTTCACTGTTTTGTTGACAATACGCGGTATTGCAAAGTGCAGAAAACTAAATGCTTCCTGATGCTGGTAACTCCTGGATATTGGCATTCGTATCGGCATTATATTGTGCATGGGAACTCTAGAACTGTCTTTAAATGTCAGCACAAAACAATGACGTCTCACTCTGATAATGAGTTTGGGGGAATGGAGTTGGGGAATGAGCAGAACTGATCTGTCCAAATACACGCCGTAAACATACTTTACACTATTTGGATTGTGTCGCACATAGTCTCGTCTGCCAACATTGAGTTTGTTTAAAATATCTGAATTAATCATTGTTATCAGTGGAAGAATTATATCAAATTTTCTTTGGGGAGGGCGCTGTATCCAGCATTGAGTTTTCTGGGGACCTGTTGTGCGTGGGTTTCTTTAATTCTTCTTTTGTGAATAAGGAAGCAAGGCTACTGATTATATTTTATGTCTCTTTGATATCAGGTGTTACTTAGGTACGACCCTCACAGTTCAAAACAATACGCCATAATCTTTCCCTATCTAAACGGGGTCTACACGTCATTTCACATTCACTGCTCCACACGATGCGTTCAAATCCAAGAGCGTAAGACTGTATTCAATTATCAACCCCTCTCTTTGGAGCTGAACTATTTGTTTACACGTTGGTGAACAGTGGGGTTTATTTCTGTCAACGGGCCATTGTCCATTATGTAGCACCATCCTTACAGAAAAGATAAAAAAAATAACGGCTACTTAAGTAGTTTTAGTTTTTGTCATGATTATCTACGGAGAAAATAAACTCAAGCGTTTTGTCTTACAATGCCTGTCAAAGATATGTCTAAGAACGAGGGGGTTTCTTTTCAAAGGTAGAGTAGGGGGAAATATTCGAAAGGAAATGTTGTGTGATGACATAAAAGAACAGAAACCACCTTATTTTAAAAGTAGGATAATGGAAATACAGCTGAACAATGACAAATAATCACTGGGACATGTTCATGGCCTATGCAAAAACCAACCAGCAAAAGACCATTGCATTAAGAACTCTTCACAACAATTGCCCAAATGAAAATATTTTTGTAAAAAAATTGCAAAATGGAGAATGCACAAATTGTGAGTATTTCGTTTTCAAAAAGAGCCTTGAGATGTGGGAAATAATTTCAGGGAACAGGTCAGCAGCAAGTGAGACTGAACTTTTAATTAAATCACATTGGATTGTTAGTACGAATAAGTTTTTATTCACTTTTTTTAGGGGGGGGGGGGTGTTCTCCGATGACGTACGTGTCCCCATTTCCATTGATGGTTCAAAACCTTGCCGAGTAGACCAAGAGGTGTCAATCGCAGAAATGTACTAAACAATCACGTGGGGGAGAATAGGGAAATATTACCTGTTACCTGTATTACCTGTCCTGGGCATCAACGTCATTGCACACCGGACAGGTCCATAAGAGCTCAGTTCTTTCCTTTCCAGATAAGGGGGCTCTCGTGGCCTAGAGGTTAAGGTGTTGGCCTCTCATTCAAAGGTCCCGTGTTCGAATCCGGGTAGCGACCGAAAAATGTTCTTCTCTAAAATTGTCTCTTTTCACCTCCTTTCCTGCTCTCTAGCAATGTTCTGTTGTGTGCTTTAATTTCCACTTTCTGCCCCCACCCCGTCACCTCCTTTGCCCCCTCCTCTGGGCTCCTGACTCTTTCTGCAGCCTTTCTACTGCTACTCCTTGGCTCCTCCTTACTGCTGTCTTTCTGCCACACCCCTGATCTTCTGGTAGGAAAGATCTACACCTAGCCTTCTCGGACAAGGGCGAACAATCTCGGAGGGCCGTGTGCAAGTTGCACACGTTAAAGATCCCTTGGTGGTCTAAAATCGGTAAGAGTAGGCTTCGTCCGCCACCTGGGCAAAATTCAAAATTTCCTACCAACTGAAAATATTCGGTGTGTCCCGCGCGCTCATATGACCTATGCAGTTGCGAGCGCCGTAAAACACTTTACAAAAACAAACATTTCCAGATAATCTTTCCTTTCTTCCTTTTCCCCTCTCTATCCCCATTTTCCACATCCTAATGATTGCGTAGTCTTCTGCTGTCTCCCTGTCTTCTTAATATTGGTCAAATTTCACCTCACCATCAACCACAGCACTGCCTGCCAGTCTATCAACCTCCTCGTTGCCTTTCACTCCAGAGTGCCCAGGACAGAATATCCACGTGATGGCTCTAAGTGATGAGTGTTTTATTGGGTTCATCCATTCACTCCGAAGAAGCCCTTTCTCAACCCTTCGAAAGATGCTCTGGGAGTCTGTGACAATGATGAGATGGGTAGTTCTTGGTTTTGTATTTTGGAGCCAGCCAAGCGCTCTTGTTACGGCCTCAGTCTCCATTTTCATACTTGAAGTTGTTCTTTCTATGGCCCTTGATATGCTATGAACCTGTTTGTTCCCACTATACCCCATAAAACCCCAGCCACTCCTCTCACCCCTTCTGACCGATCCATCCGTGTAGAAGATCACTATGGGTCTTCTGGCTTAGAGTGCTCCTCAATTAACTGTCGTATGTCATTGTCGTTAATGACAGCAGCCCATTCTCATCTTTCACGATCCATAGTGATGTTAACGTTGGCCAGGCTTCTGCAATCGGAGCTCAGTTCAAACCATTCCTTTCCACAGCATATTTCATCGATGCCACAAACTTTCCTCAAGGAGTCTTCGACATCAGACTGCCATCCATGAGCTGCCCCGTTTGATCCTGTTTCCTTTGATGCTGCTTAGGTTGTCATGTAAAGGGTGCCTCGGGTCTCCCAAAACATTCAAGTACAGCTTTGCCTGTGCCACTTTATGCCTCACTCTGATCCTGGCCAGGTGCAGGATGTATCTCATACAGACAAATAGGGAATAATTATCAGAAAGCGGCTTCGCCCATCTCAGAGTCTCGTATTGTGTAGATTACTTCAGTCAGTCCCAATAATGCTTTACTCTCTCTCTCTCTCTCTCTCTCTCTCTCT